CAAAACAGAACCACAATGTGATACCACTTCACACCTATTAACATGGCTAGATTAAAAAAGTCAGACAAACATAATTGTTGGTGGGGATGTGGTGAAACTGGAACCTCAAGCCCTGCTGGAGGAAATGTAAAATGGCATAGCCACTTTGGAAACGTCTGGTAGTTCCTCAAACATAGAGTTACCATATGTCCCAGCAATTCCTCTCTTGTGCATAGATCCAAGAGAAATGAATGCCTATGTCTACACAAAGACTCGTACATGAATATTTATAATAGTCATTATTTATAATGGTCAAAAGGTAGAAACAACCCAATTGTTCATCGACTAATGAATGGATAAACAAAATGTACTCTCTCTCTCTCTCTCTCTCTCTCTCTCTATATATATATATATATATATATATATAGGCCTAATATAAAAAGTGTCCCCTCGGGAGTTTGATGGCCCGGGAGTTTGATTGCTCGCTATGATGTATGCTGACCACCAGTGGGAGGCGCAGAATGAAGGAAGGCCCCGGCCAGCAGTTGGCAGCCGCTAGGGACCCTCAACATGCACTAACTTTGTGCACTGGGACTCTAGTATCCATATAATACAATAAGATATGACTCAGCTCTTTGGGAATATTTGGGGTGACATTTGGGGTAAAAGTCATTATTACCTGTACAGTGTGGTTACCTGAGACACCTTGGGTAAAGGTCAGGTACGTTGCTACACATCCTAAAATGCACAGGACAGACTCCTATCCAACCCCAATAAAGGATTATCCAGGTCCAAATGTTAATGCCAAGATTGACAAATCCTAGTGTAGACACATATATTATAGAACTATACTAGTGATCATTCTGTGCATATAATTTGCTCTGCCCTGCCCCCATCTAACATTATATTGTAAAACAGCAGAAACTTTAACCAAGACAGACACTCATATGGAGTGTGTGGAAGGAGTCAAGCCTCAAATCTGGTAGGGCAAGCAACACTATTATTTCCTGTCATGGAGGTTTTGGACTGAGAGCATAAAGCCAAATAATTATTCTAACCATCTTGTCATTAAGTATAATACAAAATGCTATAGAATTTGTGTGCTGTACCCTGCTGCAATTAGGTGCTAAAACAATGGTGAAAGTGGTAATGTTAAAGCAATTAGGTTTTAATTAGGTTTGTAATTACATGGTTCTTGTGTTAGCCCACTGACCACTTGGAAAGCATGCATGAGAAAGAACTGCTTTTATAGTTTAAAGAGGGAAATGAAGTGGATTTCCCTGTTTCTCCCCTCTGTATTACTTTAAGGGAGAGAAAAGAAATAAAAGCAAATGGAAAGACAGGGTGGAGGGGAGGAAATAGATTTTATTACTCAGATTAAAAAATTTTTTTTAAACTTAATGTCATCCTAAAAGAAAATTATCTCATGTTTTCCTTACATGAGTTTGATAGCTCATTGTGTTCTCAGTGCCATTACTGAGCTATCAACAATTTACACTAATATTTTTTCTGAAGGAATAAGAGGAGTACAGGGGGCTCTCTCTAAAGGTCCTATAACTCTTGTTAATTTGTATATTTTGTTAAAAACTCGATATGAAACATTTCTAATAAACAGAAAATTACAGAAAATAATAAAGACACAAATGTACCCATCACTGAGACCAAATACGTGTTAACATTTTGTTAGACTTCAAATATTTCCCTTTTAATACATAAAACATTTTTAGATACTTTAGCTGTAAAGGTTTAGCTTTAATGTCTTACTCTTTTTTTTTTTTTTTTTATTCTTCTCTGGAAGTAGGCGAGGTTGTGATGTATATTCCCCTTTTGTTTTTGTAGTGTTATTACACATACATGCGCACGCGCGCGCACACACACACACACACACACACTACTACTACATTTATATATACTATGTATAAATATATATGTGATTTTTCTCTTTATTTTTGAGTTTTACCCACACGGGGGGTGATTTATTTATTTTAAATGTAGGATAGGATTCTACTGTATAATGTACCTCCATGTATTTTATTCTTTTTCTGACTGCAAGATGGTTAAAGAGTTTATTCCTTTTTGCTATTACAAAGTGTTCAAGACCTATCTTTGTATGGGTGTCTTTGGGCTTCTCTAGGGAGAAATCTTGACATGGAATTGCTGTGTCATGGGAACATGCACTTTCGCCTTTACTAGGTATTACCAAGTTGTTGTCCAAAGTGGTGCTACTAGTTTTGCACTCTCACCATCTATGTAGGAACCCCTACATCTTGGCCAAAAGTTGTTAACATGGGACTTCATATTATTTGCCAATCTGATGAACATAAAAAGGTATCTTAGAAGACTGTTTTTTATGTTTTAAAAATTAATTGGGAATGACCTATCTCTTCCCTCAACTTTTCAAAACCTTCCTGTAGAGTCATAACAAGCGAACTTTCACAAGAATTGTATTAACAACTGTCTCATGTTCAGACATCATAAAGAAAAGAACATTTCTTGATTCCAAGCTTCCCTAGTTCTGTCTTTTATCTCATTCAACTTTGTCCCAGCCCTATGTGCTGAGCCTGGCACAAGTGTCATTTCTAAAATTGTTGACTCATTGGGGTATATCATCTCCTTGTTGGGACATCATGTTCTTGTGAAGTTTAAATAATAAACACATATAAAAAGTACTTTAAAATGTAAAACATTGACAAAGGTATTATTTTCATAGGTGCACTGCCATTGCAAAGAATTTCTATAAGAAAAATTTTAGCAAGCTCTATGTAAATCTTGAAAGTTAATTATAATAGCTCCTGCTTATTTATATTTAGTACCTTCTGCATGCAAAGAACATGAGAAAGAAAAGAGCAGTCTTCGACACCAGGGAATTAGTTTGACACCTAGAGCTAAAAGCCTTAGTGCTTTTAGAAGCTGGCCTGACACTCACAGCTAGGCCATGTTGTTCTCCTCATGGACATAATGAAACTTACAGAGCACCAACACCAGATAACGTCACTCTGACTGTGTGAAGTGAGACTGAACAAATGAGACAGAACATGACTACTAACTTTGTCTAAGCACAGACAATAACAAGGTCAATGTGGAAATCACAAAATACCTTTCCCTGTTACTGTGAATGACTGCTACTGCTTTGTCAGTTAGAGCTTTAGCCTCATTCTTTAGCCTGCCATCCTTCTGGATAAGATTTAAGTTATCTCATCATTGAATTGTCCCCACACCGGACAACACGGGAATCCAGAGTAACCATCCCCACTCTGTTTCTGAGGGGTTTTCCAAAATCACCTAACTAAAGTTGAAATCATTCAAGTCCTTTCTGGTACCTTCTTACTGAGAAAGCCCATGTTCCCCATAGTGCATGTTCTCATTCCCTGTGAGCAAATAAACTGCACTTGTTCAACTACGTGTGTTCTCCTGGTGGTCTCTGGTGGGAGGGGCTTTCACAGACACCTTTAAGAACTCTTTACATGTGCTATCTCATTTAAACCTGACAATACCGCTGTTTGTTACTCATTGCTATTATTATTATTATTATTAGAGGCCCGATGCATGAAATTCTTGCAAGAGTTGGCCTTCCTTCCTCTGGCTGCTGGCACAGGCTTCTCTGTGGCAACCAGGACCCAGGCTTCTCTGTGGCACCCAGGACCCAGGCTTTCCTTGCAGCCCTGGCTTTGTCTGGAATGTCGCCTGGAAGCACGTCTGGTCTAATTAGCATATTACACTTTTGTTATTATAGATTATCCTCCTTTTTACAGATGGAATGGCAAAGAAAGTTTAACATCATCTCCAACGTTACATATCTATTAAATGACAGGAAAAAAATTTGCATCTGGGTTGAAAGTCATCAAGACACTAGGAACTCTGCTGGACTTTTTCCCTAAAGATCAGGTACTCGTTGAGGATGGAGACTAGCATAGAATGTCCGGTACAATAAAAACAAATAAACATAAAAAATTAAAAGTAAACCCCCAAACTGTAGTGTCAAGATTTAATTGGAACTAAGTTCTATTTTCTGAACCTCTGTGCTAATATCTCCAGAGTTGCTAGGGTTGTTTCCTGAACCCAAATCAGTACTGCGTGTTTGCCTTGGATCTTGGCTCACATCACCTCTAGGTAGGCAAGAGATGGATAACTAAAAGAGTTAAAAGTAAAGGATGAGTTGAAAGTGGATAAAGCACACTGATGAGTGGAAAAAGTGCTTTAGCCTTGTAATTTGACCTTGGGTATACACAACAGATTCTTTAGCACCGTTTTAGCTCAAGGCCTTTATTATACCTGCAACTTGCTCCTGCTTAGAATGAATGCCTTTTGTCTTATTGCCCCACCACTCTTTTCTGCCTAACATCCATGCATTCTTCCTTTCACCTTTCCAGATCTGCTCCTTGATTTAATTATCTTTCGCCTTAGTTCTCAATGAACTTTTAAAACTGCTATAACATTTTCATTATTTTGTTGTAAGGGCTGGGAAACCACATTAGATTGTCATGTCAGCTCCATAGGGCGTGACCTAGTACTTCCTGATTTTTCCTGGCCCCCTCTGCCACCCCAGCGGGCTCCAAGCACCTAGGCTCTCAGCAGTCGCTCATGTGGAGGAAGCAATTTTTTTTTTTCTTAGCGTTTGGGGTGCTGTCATTTGGGGTGCTGTCATTCTCTCGCCCCTAGCACCCCGTCAAGCAGAGATCCTAGGACTACTTTACCAGTGACCTTCACATAGATCTGCAAAAAAAGTTAGAAGATTTCACGTTCCATAGCCATACAAGTGGCGGGGTGGAGCGGGTCTCGGGTTAGAGGGACCCCCACCTCCAAATGCCAAACACATCAGACACGTGACTGTGGACAGGCTCTCAGGCCCCCAAACCCGACTCCGCCCCGTGCCGGACCCGACGCGCCAGAACCCGCAGAAGGGTTGAGTGGCCAAAGGGGCTCAGCCAATCGCATTTCTTTGTGCCCGGAAGGGGCGGGACCTGGGCGGGTCCGTGACCTCGCGGCTCCGGATTGGTGGGTTCCCGCGAGGTCCGCGGCGGCGGGAGATTTCGGATGTGTTGGCGGCTGCGGTCCCGGCAGCAGCAGTTGGGCTCCTCCTGCCACGGAACCCGGAGGCCCGGCGCGCAGGGTCCTGAAGAAGCTCCTCTCTCCTGACCTGCCGAGCGGCCACCTCTGTCCGTCCCGGCGCTGCGAGGAAGGCCGCCTTCTGTCCGTCCCGGCGCTGCGAGGAAGATGGACCGGCACCGGCCGCGGCTGCACCACCCGCCGCAGGGCTCCGCCGCCGGCGCCCCCTACCCCTCCTCCGCCTCGCTCCGCGGCTCGCGGGACAGCAGGGCGCCGCGCAGGAAGGGCCCCCAGCACCCTCCGCCGCCCCGCGGCCCCGACGGGCCTGGAGAGAAGCGCCCCAAGTTTGTAAGTTTCACGTGGGGCTGGGGTGGGGCAGCTCCTGCGGGACTGACTGCACCCGGCGTTCCTCCGGAGCGGGCGGGTCTCCAGGGCCCCGGGGCTAGGTGGGGTTCTAGGTTTCCAGCGCTGCCCGTCTTTTTTTTTTTTTAAGGCGACACGGTTCGATCCTGTCTGGATCCTCTGACATACACGGATTATTGTGCTGCCCCAAATTTCTTATGGCCGTTCATAGACTTAGGTATGGACGCCACGCATGTGGACATTGCATTTTTTAAGTTGAACGTCTCCCTACACCCCTAGCATCTGAGGGTATGTGACATATCAAAGTGAACTTTAGGTATTTTTTTTTTCTGCTTAATATTTTAATCCAAGAAAACCATCTTAAGCTAGATATAATTTTCCAAGTCCAGACAGCTTCGTTATAAAATGTGGGCGGGGCCATGCGGTCATCGCTGAAGAATGTTTAGATTGGAAAGAAGCCCCAACTTTTTGAATCTCGCTATTCAGATTGCTGCCCTTATTCAGTTTAACACCCAAGGGGAGTGTCATGATTTGTGCCTTGTGAATCTTTTTGCTGATTATCAACTAGTGGAAGTATAGGCAGTGATGACAATTCAGTGTGTGTTTCTGTGTAAGTAAGTGACTTAGAGTGGTGATAGATTTGGATTGAGACCAACAGGATTGAAAACTTAATACTGACCCCTCCTTTTTACTTAAAGGCATAGAAAAACATTTGTTTTATTCATAGGTGAAATAGTACAGAATGTGTCTTCTGTGAACAAATAAATCGTTAGGAATTTAAGTTAGGATACACAGATTAAGGGAATAAAGATTTATGGAAGAGGAGTGACTTGCTTAAGTACAACAGTTAAAAGTGATAATTGAGTCAAACTGGGAGCAGAGCTCTGAGATGTATCAGAATACTGGAAATGAGAGAAAACATCGATTAATTATGCTAAATTAATCATCAAAATGCCCAGAAGAATGCTGGGATTTTGCAAGAGGATCAAATGTGGTGTTGATTGTTTTTTGACAGAATTGAGGAATAAATGGGATAGGGTTAAAATGGCAATGAAACATTCTACCCAATATGAGAAGAATCCAATGGGGCTATTCTTTCTTTTATAGTTTACTCTCTTGGTTAAAAAATCATTCCTATTTGTTTCTGACTTCTGTGCTCCAGAATACACAAGGTATAAGTTTTCAGTGACTCATTTGGAGCAAGGATGTGAAGAAAACAAAACCTAAATTAATGTCAGGTGATTTGGGTCTTAGTAGTCTACTGTTTTTCATTTCTTAGATGTGTGGAAAAGAGTTTTTGTGAAGATGAACACAAAACAGTATATTTAAGCTCTACAACTAAACATCGAAAATAGTGTGTTTTTAGATAGAAGTCTTATTTGAATAATGACTTCATAATTAATTTAGAGGTAATTTAGATAATCTCTGAAACTAATTTAGAGTCTTTAAAAAATATATTTTTATTGAATTCCGAGAGGAAGGAAGAGCAAGAAGCATCACTGATAAGAATCATTGATTGGCTGCCTCCTGCGTACTCTGTACTGGGGATCGAGCTCTCAAGATGGGCTTGTGCGGTGACCTGGAATCGAACGGTGACCTGGCCATGATGCTCAACCACTGAGCAACACCAGCCAGACTAATTTAGATTCTTGCTTACATGGTAATGTAACCAGAACCAAGGTTCGACTGTCTGCCCCCCTGAAACTAAACTCATGAGACAGGTGCTAGTGAGAAAGGAAAAAGGTTTTATTCAAGTGTCAGTCACCTGAGGAGATGCGGGACTCTTGTTATAAAGCTCATCTCTACATCTTGGTGCAGCCAGAGGTTTTTATAAGAAGGGAAAGGGAAAGCAGAACAAAAAAATCAAGGGGAGGGAGTTGATAGGTTCTTTGCATGTAGCCAACACAATTCATTCCGATAAGGATCGCAAAGCTGGTCAAGTGATGGTTTGGTGTGTGTCATCCTGGTCTTCATCATCCTGGGTCTACATCATCCTACTTCTGTAGTTGAAGGGCAGAAATCTCTGGAATGTTGGGCTCTGTACCTTCTGAAGTTAGTTTTTAGGTTTCTTATACAAACATGCCATTTATCTACAAGCTACATAGTAGAGTTAGCATTTACAGAAACAATGTCAAATGCCGTATTTTTCGGACCATAAGACGCTCCGGACCTAAGACGCACCAGTTTTTAGAGAAGGGAAATGAAGAAAAAAAGATTCTGAAACAAATAGTGTCCTAAAATATTTTATGTGCATTAAAACCCAACATCACAGTCATAAACACATGTAATCAACCCTGTGAAGTAAACAGCAGCATTTAGAACCATTTTAGAGCCGGGCAAGCACACAGAGACCACACAGAGCCGGGCAAGTAAAAAAACTTTTTTTTTAAAGTATATGTGTAGGCTATATTTGGACCATAAGACGCAGGGACTTTCCCCCCCCACTTCTGGGGGAAAAAAGTGCGTCTTATGGTCCGAAAAATATGGTAAATGGTGGGTGGGTTACAGTTTCCACTGCTCTAGTAATTTTTTTAGATATATTTTCCATTTCATTAATTTTTTGTCAGCCATGTCTAATGTGTAGATTGTTCTATTTTAGATTATCAATTATTTTTTATTTATATAAGTTTCATTCTTTTTTATATCTGCCTGGTCATTCTTTATAGTTCTGTTTCTTATTTCTTTAGGCCTTTCTTACTTAGCTCTTTTTCCTTATTTGACAGTCCTGGTATATGCAGTCTTTGGATTGTCAACATTGACTTGAACTCTGGTGGCTTGCTATCTCCTCTGTGCTTGTTGATCTTTGTAAATTCATTGCTTCATTTTAACCTATTTTCCAGGAGGCCTAATTGGGGATGCTTCTCTCTGGAGATTATTTGAGTCTGTTTCAACCAGGAGCTTGGGGTGCTACTGACTTGGGACCACCCCCCCTATTGAACTAGGACTGTGAGATGGCCTGGAGTTTTGGGGATAGAAGGGATAATCTTTGGATATCATCCTTCCTGGTGAGATCTCAGCGATACCTCAAAAAATAATTGTTCTATGGTTAGGTTTTTGTATTTTGCATACTCTACAAGGCTGCAAGCTGGTCCTGGCTTAGTTTAAGAAGGCAGAAGTTCTGAAACCCTGCCCCCTGGTTTACTTTGAGCCCTGATAAAGCAGACAGATCTTTGTTTTCTATTGAATGTTTAGCTGTGGGCCTCAAGGTACTTTTGAGTTGTGTATAAAAGTTTATAGTATAGGACTGCTCCTCATAGATATGTGTAAATATTAGAAATTAGTCTGTTGTAAATGGCTGTGCACAATGAATCAACTGCTTTTGGGCTGTTTATGAATTAACCAACTTGAGTTCTGTAGAAAATAGGTAAGCAGTGAGTATTGAGATGCTGGGATAGTTACTAGGAGACAGGATACAAACTCAAGGCTGAGAGGACAAGGCAGGTGAAGATTTGTAGATAGAATTCAGTAGAGCTATTAAGCTTGGTACCTGCTGTAGGCCACACCCTTAGTACCTGCACCTGCTTCCCTTCTAGAACAAAACAAAGCAGTTGCCTTTCAGTGATACGGGGACTCCATTCCTACATCTCACTACTCGACAGTACACAGAGCAGTGGCCATCAGATCCAGAGTGAGAACAGGGTTTGTGGCTTGTGGAGAAGTCTTTATCTCTAGGAAGTGGGGCAGTCTTTTGAAAGGAGGCCTGTAAGTTTGGCAACCCAACTTGGCAGAGCAGCTCTTTTTAATCGGGAATATCCTTTAAAAGTTCTTATAGACTTTAGTGTAAACCTTTCATCTAATCTTATGGTTTCCATTGAATAGGTTGTTAATTATTGTTAATTATGTCATTACAGTTTTGGTTGTGAGAGATTTTTCACCCTGTCATTAATATCTGTACGTCTGCAGTGTTTGGGCATCATTAGTAAGTAATAACAGTTATGAGTGAGCCAAGCACAGTTCTAGGTGCTTTACAAATATCAATTCCTTTAGTACTTACAACAACACTATGAAGTAGATAGATTATTAGCTTTGTTTGCTGGATGGGAAAACTGGGTACAGAGATTAAATTGCTGTAGGTGACACAGCTGCCAGTTGATGAGATTGGTATTTGAACCCAGGCAAATTGTCTTTGCCCTCCATGCTATTGGGAGGGAGTTTTAATCTCTACTGCTCCTTTTCTCATTCAGGAACCATTAACTGTAGTTAATAACGCCTTTAACAAATATAGAATTAGCAATTTCCTGGTTATAGGCTGTTTGTGAGAGTGAAGAGGTATTAAGTTAGAGAACTTTTGTTTATTATACTGAGAATTTGACTATAGTTGAATTCACAGTAGGCTTGAAGAGATTAGCACATGCTTGCCTAATTGCTTTGGGTTTATTTGGAGACAGCTGTGGCAGGCTGAATAATGACTCCTGCCCCATAAGACATTCACATCCTAATCCCCGGAACCTGTCAGTGTCCCAAAGAAGGACTTTGTAGATATGATTAAATTAAGGGTTCAATGATGAGGAGATTGTCTTGGATTTCAGAATGGGCCCTAAATGCAAACATGTATATCCTTATAAGAGAGAGGTAGAAGAAGGTTTGATCACAGAAGAGGAGAAGGAAATGTGACTATAAGGCAGGGATTGGTGTTGGCAGCCACAAACCAAAGAAGCTGGAAGGAACGAGGAACCATTCTCCCATGGAACCTCCAGAGGGAGACACTTTGATTTCAGCCCAATGAGTCTGATTTTGGAACCCTGGCCTCCAGAACTGAGGGACTGCATTTTTGTTTCAAGTCATCAACTTTGTGATAATTTGTTTTAGAAGTCATAGGAGACAAACAGCAGGAATAGCTGCCAGGGTGACTATGTTGAAAGGTTTAGTTTAACAGGTTAAAAAATGTATGTTTCAGGAAAACCATTAGATTCACTTAAATTTCTTTCTTGTGGTGGTTTACTTTGGAAGGTTTGTGATTTGGGAGAATATATTGTAAGATAACC